GACCACTATCCCGGCTCCCCCTTATCCAAGCCGAGTCACTTATACTTTAATGAGATTATTTTCCAACTCAACCATTTATCTTTACTTTCATTTATCCCTTTGTGTGTAAGGCTAGTGGCTTCCTTTGTCTAAGTAGATTTGTCAATAGTTTATAATTTTTCTTGTCATGATCATAATATTTATTTTTCACATCAGACAAACTCTTCTGGAGACTTGGAAGAAAGAGATTCCCCCCTCCCCCACAACTCTTTTTAACCTGAAATTTTTGTTTCTGGGATATGTGGTTTTTAAAATAAAGTATTAAATAAAAGGGAATGAGCAAAACTTCCCAAACCAACATATCTCCCCATCCCATTTGCTTCTGCATACCCTAAACTAGTATTTCATTTAAAGAACTATCTTAGATCGGGCTGGCCTTGCAGCAAATGGTCCAGAAGGTTTGCACTCACGAAACGTGTGGCCCGGCTTCCCTCCAAACTGAATCTCAAACCCGGGTCAATCCCGTGCCCAGGAGACTTTAACTTGTATCTTTCTCAATCTCCAGTGCTTCAAGTTCTTTTTTATCTTCTGGTTGTTCAAAACCCTCAGCCCCTCCCAATGACTTATGACCTTCTTAATTACTAATGCATCACTTTCATCAGTAAAACTGATGCTCTTTACTTACCATCACATTATGTTGAGGTTTTTCTTTTTTTCTTTCCTTCACTAAAGGACTCTTATACTCCAGTTCTACTCTAATGGACCACAATGCACTGTGCACCTGTCGGGAGCTTTCAGGAGCCATCTAAGGAAGGCAAGCCTTGGTGGGAAAGCCAGCCCTGCCCTTGGGGCCTGGAACATGATAAACTGTCCTCTCCTGACCTCGACATCTCCATTAGGCCAGCCACTGCCTCTGGCTCGTTCCCCATTGTGGCCCTGGCACCCAGCCACTGCCTGGCACACAGTGAGCACTCAATAAATAAATTGATGAATGGCCTTATTTTCTAATACACCAACACATGCAACAACATCAACAGAGGCTGAAACGGGCATGATAGGTGAGACAGAACATGAGAGTGTTATTCAGTGAGTCTGAGAAAAAGTGATTAAAAAGTCAGTGACATCTTGTATTGGTATGCTTCCTAGTTTCTGGGGGGCTTCAAGTCTCCTGCAAGATTTGTATCAACAAGCATATTTGAAGGACGAAGGAAGCCTCACCAGGTTTCTGTGAAGATTCAAGAGATCCTGCATGTGAAGCTGCTCCCACAATGCCCGAAATGCAGTAAGAGCTTCAGAAACAGTGGAGAGGCACCCTTCTTCGCTAGTGACATAACAGATTCAGGTCCAGAACCCAGGGTTTGCGTTTCCTGGCCTATGACAGCATCCTCAGTGTTCTTCCCACGCTGTCCTCAGATGGATGGGAACATCTTGAAGGCAACAGGCACGGCACCTTAAGAAGACCACTGATACTCCTCTGCCCCCATCTTGCAGGGGAAAGGGAGGGGGGCATCGCACCCCGTGATTATGGTGATCAGCGCTAAATGGCTGGAAGTCAAGCCTGCGAACCATGCAAACGTTATGGACAATATACCTTCTGGTGCTTGCCCCAAGGTTCTCATGCTGATTACCTGCTGGCAGTTCTTTCACCAAATAAATCACAAATAAAGTGAGGCTCCTAAGCCCCAATGACTGAAGCAGGAGCCCTCAGATCACCGAGATCCGTTGCTCAGAGGGACCATGGTTACCGTCCAAACTTCTCTTCCCCGTAACACATGCATCACTGAGTTACCGTCAGACATTGCACCGATGAGAAATAGAATACTCGTGCCCCCTGTGGTTGAAGGGGCTGGAATCAATGCATCATTTTGAGGTGCGGTCCAGGGTTTTTTTTTTTTTTTTTTTTTTTGGTCTGGCCTGACCTTTTTCTGGATTTTTGAGAAAAAAACTGAAATAATTTAAGTAGCATCCATTTTCCCTGGCTCTCCCTCCAAGGGCTGTACTTAGTTTACCATTTTTTCTCAGCCCTTTTTCTTGTGCCATCCTCCTGAGGATGTGACTGGCCCACATGTTAGCCTTATAGGTAAGTGAGAGAGATTCATGCATGTTAAATGGGCCACTGGGCTCCTCGGCTGGTGCATTGGGTGGCCTGGGACAAGGCACTTGGACTCACTGAGGTTTAGTTTCCTCGACTGTAAAATGAAAAGATAAACCTACTTCCCTGACCTTTCCTGAGTATTCAGTGAGGTGACAAATATGAATCGTCCCTACCCAGGATTGACAAAGTAGGTCTCTTCATGGCGATAAGGACACTGACATGGTTGAATGTTTGTTACACTTTATCAATTTCTTCCATCTGGTTGCAACCACATTATTTGTCCTTCTACTCTCCAAATAGGCTATAGGGGGTCTGTTCATTTCCCGGAGATGTCACATTTATGTAGAAATGCCTCACTATCTTTGCCATTTTGTGTTCTTCCCGTCACCCAGCCTTCTTCCACTCTAACGGAATGCTTAGTGCCCTATCCTGCCTCATGTTCCTGGTCTCTCCATCTGGAAACCTCTCTTCACTCCTGCCTCCACCCTGGGGCTGCTTCCTCTTCATTCACGAACACATATTTATTGCCCCAGGTGTTGGGGATGTAGCAGTGAACCAAACAGTGCCTGCTGTCATGGAATTGGCATTCTACAGGTAGGCATGGGGAAAGAAAAGCAGGTGATTACTAAATAAATCTCTCATATGCCAGGGGCTGGTAGAGTTATAACAAAGAGTAGAACAGGATAAGGGGATACTGGGATTTAGGTTTAGTGGGGAAGGGTTCTCTGAGGAAAGGACTGTTTGAACATAGTCCTGAAGGACATGTGGCAGGAATCTCACAGAAAGTCTGGGAGAAAGTATTCTAGGAAGAAGGAACAGCAAGTGCAAAGGCCCTGAGGCAGAGCAGGGCTAAAATATCCCTTCCCGAGAGAGCATTCCTTGACACCCCTTTTTAAATTATGTTCTCTTTCTCAGGGCACACCATTCTTTTTGGAGTGTTTAATCTCCATTTATGTTTTATATATTAACATGTGTAATTTAATTAATCTCCCCCTCTGGATTATAAGCTCCATGAAGGCAGGCATCATATCTGTTCCCATTGTCCCTTATTTGTGTATCCAGCATTCACCCTCCTGTCTGGTATTTAAATAGTTATTGAATGAATCGATCGATTTTAAATGGTCATTAATGGCAATGTGCAGTAATTTGCCTCATGTGAGAATTTCCTTTTAGAAATTAGTACATAAGGTGGGAGGAGGGGATTCTCCCCTAAAGAACTGTCACACTTCTTTCTTTCAGCTAATGAGCAGAAATTGAGTATAATACATCCATTTCTGGTTTGCATGCAAGGATTTTATGCTCAGTAAGGATAATTCAGTTAAGATTTGGGGTCGGCACATTCACTTGTGTTTTTTTCTTAATGATGAGATTGTGCTTGTATTCTTCTTTTATTAATTAAATTTCTCTTTTTGTGTAATTAAGATATGAATAAAAAATGAGTGATAAGTAGGTAAAGAAGGAAGAACAGAAGGGGGGGAGAAGGAGAGAGAAAAGAAAATATTTCCTCTTTAAGATATATCTTGTCACTACTTTGCAAGTTGAAATTGGAAACAAAGCTAGCTCATGCTTTAAATGAGCTATGACAGCTATGACTAGAGCTTGACATTATCAGGACCAATGCTAAGTATTTTTACATTCATGTTCTCATTAAATTCACAACAGGTTATAGAGTAGATATCAATAGCCCCATCTTACAGATAAGTAAATTAAGGAAGTTAATAACTCATAGAAGTTAAATTAACTTGTCCTGAAAACAGAAGAAAGTAGAAATGAGTGCCTTCCAATGGCTTGGACAGGGCTGTCAGAATTAAATGTGAGTTGTTTTGATCCTGCCTCCCCTCAAACTTCCATTCCTCACCCTGCTAAGGAAAGGTGCGCTCCTCCAACAGTGATCATAACCTCACCCCAAGGCACTGATGGGCGTCCTTTACAGAAATCCCCTTACAGCAACAACCCCTGAATGCAGGTACCTCCAATGGTCTTTATCTTTAAAGGCTTAAAAAAAACATAGCAAAAGAATGCATGACACTGATTGTAAACTAGCAAGCTGGGTGGTGGGAAGCCTCTCAGACCCGCGCTAAGAAAGGTGATAATGAATTCAGTGTTGCCAATTCTGAGGGAATTATAAGAAAACACCTAGAGGTTCCAATTGGTCCCAGTAGTGAACCAGATCCTTCCTTGCTTTCACAGTGCAGTCGGGTATTTCTCGGTGCTGCTCCCAGTCCTGGGGCTCAGGAACCGCGGGGCAATCCCTGGGACGTAGAATTCCGGGGCTGTGGGCCCAGGGGAGCGGGGCGGCTCCTATGCACACACACACATTCACTCACACATCACTTGTGGTCACAAAGCACAGCCGGGCACACACGCTCAGCACCCGCACAGAAGCGCGCACCTACAAACATCTAAATCACCCATCCACCTACATCAACACCACAACACAGGCGCACGCGACCTCACACACCTCGCCCACTCACGCACTCACGCCACACACTGGCGCGCAACACACGAGCTAGCACATGCTCGCGCACAGGCTCACGCCCAGTGCACACACCCTCTTGCGCGCGCCCACGGCCTCGCTCACCGGCACACACGCGCGCGCACGTGCCCTAGCTCACGGGCGCACCCCGCGCGCACACGCACACGCTCACCCAACCGAGCGGCGAGGGGCGGGGCGGGGCGGGAGCGGTAGCCAGTGCCCGGCCGGGCGCGGCCAGGAGAGGGCGCGGCGCGGCGCGGGGGAGCGCGGCCGGCGCCTGAGTTGTTTCCCGGAGGCCCGGCCGCGAGACGCTCCGAGGGAGCCCAGCGGGCTAGGGCTGGGCTGGGCTGGGCTGGGCTGGGCTGGGCTGGGCTGGGCGGGGCGGCCCGGAGGGAGCACGCCCCCGGGTGACGCCGGCGCCCGCGAGCGGAGCGCGGCGGGGAGCGCGCCATGGACCCCAAAACGGGCGGTGCCGAGGAGGATGACTGCGTGGACTCGGGCGCCGAGACCGGAGGGTGAGCCGGGCCGGGCCGTGGGCGGGGGGCGCTCTCCGAGTTGCGCTGTGGCTGCGCCCCGGCCGGGACCTTCCTGGACCCCGCGGCGGAGCCGGAGCCGCTGCAGCCGGATGGGGCCGCGGGGGCTCTCCCTCCTGCCGGCAGAGGGGCTGTGGCGGGCTGGAGGGGCAGAGCAGCGTGGTCCATAGCTGCCCCGGGTTGGCGCGGGCCCCATCCCCGGCGGGGCGGGGCGGGGGTGTGTGGAAGGACTCAAGGTTCAGAGTAAACCCCCCACACACCACCCCTTCTTGCCCCCCGTTATCACTGAGATGATGTGGAGTCGCAGGCGAATGCAGTGTCCCCCTGAGATCATCCCTAGAGAGACAAGAGATGCTTTTTGCACTTATTTCAACCTTCCGCGAGGACTTTATTCTTCTAGCCCCGCCGCTCCCTGGAGTGCAGGATGCGGGGTTGGGGATGAGAAGAGGATAGGACACCTGGCACCTAAAAGTCTTTCAGAAATCCTAGAAGAGGATGACATTTTTCATTTCATGGCCTTATTGTGCTTGCTGAGACCCCCTCCTCAACTCCTGTTTTCCTCGCCGAACTTCTCTGCGCACCTCTCCCAGCCTTGGGTACAGGTGGGACGAAGTTGGTGCTATGATCCAGCCCTGCTTAAAGAAATGTTCTCATCGCTTCAACGGACTCAAACAGTTGGCCCAAACCTTTACCTCTGGAGACTAATTACCCTTCTCCCAACGACACCATTTTCCTGAGTGGGACAAAAGATGGAGTATCTTTTAGGAGGTCCACCCAGCTCCTGTCTCTAGAGGATTTGCCTGTGCAGAGTCAGCAAACGTCCAGGATGCGGGTACTGATCCAGGAGGAAAGGGTGTCCTTTCCTCTCTGGAGAGAACCCTGGTGTTGGGCTGGAGCTGCCCAGACTACAGAAAGCCTGATCCTTGGAAAGTTGGGGAGATTTAGACTAATCTCAGGGCTTGGCAGCCTTGTGAGGACAGGAAAGGAGTCCAAGGCCAGAATGGGCACAAGGCGCTACCCCTGAGGAAGGCTCCCTACACAGTCACTCCTGCCCGCCCAGCCCCGCTCTTCCTTGCAGCCTCCACCCATTCCTAGCCCAAATCTGGGACTTTACATGTTACAGCATGTACTCTGCAATGGGTTCTCCCTGTTATCCAAACTTGCGAACATTTATGATTTACTGTAGAACCCAATTACACTCTGGAGGGGTAACGTGATTCCAAATAGGGAGCTCCCTTGTTTTTTTCCCCACACTTTGTGTATGTGGCATTTATCAACTGTAATTGAAGATCCTTGACTTTTTTTCCCTTGCCTCTAGTTAGGCCATGAATAGAAGAAACAAAGCGAAATTAACCAGCTCCTTTTCAGCTGAGTTAAATAAGGCGCCAACTGGTCCATTCATTTTCAATTTACAGAGCTCACCTAAAACAGGTGTTTTTTTTCCCCAAGGGGTCTCTCTTGGAGAATTGGAGGGGAAGCCCTCACAGCGATTGTACCGTGGGATCCCAGCGAAAAGCATGACAGCTGCCAGGGGTGCTGGGAGGGGCTTGCTGAACATACTGACACCAGAACTGCTCTTCACTGCCCCCTGTACTAAAGTGTACAGTTGTGACGGGATAGAATTGTTTAAAGAATTCTTATTGCCTCAGTAGCATCCTTAAGCTAAACATGAAGGTAAAAATGGCATGCACTTAAAGAGTTTCAATGTACAGTTACTAATCTTGTATTTGCCACATATTCCTATATCTCCTGAAGTTTGGTTTGGTTATCAAAAAGCTGTTCATAGTTTCCTTGCTTTTCCAGAACTCGCCCCCGGCTTTCATATAGCTATGTGGGGAGACTTAACACATGTGTGCTATCATTATTATTTTTAAAATACAAATCTGATCAGGTCTCTCTCCCAAACGTTTAGTGGCTCTGTCCTCTCTAACATACAAAGAGCTTAGAGTGGCCTACAGGTCCCAGTGTGATAGGGTCCACTTCTGTCTCTCTGGCTTTGTTTCTCTGCACGTCCGCCTTTGTACCCTGCATCAAGCCACATCAGCAAGGTGTTTCCGATTCTTTGCCTTTGTCAAGCTGCCCCTTTCGCCAGCTCTGCCCTTCTCCACCTGGCATGCCTGTCCACCGGGTGAAACTCTATCTTCTTTCAAGACTCGGCTCAGGTGACACATCTGCTAAGGCAGGGATCCTCAATTTGAGGTCCAAGAATGGCTTCAAGTCATATGCAAAATGATGTTCTTTGTGAATTTTTGTGAGAAGAGACTTATTTTTCATCAGATTCTTGAAGTAGGCTGTGATTTCCCTCCCAACCAAGTTTGGGCAGGGTAGGAGAAGTTTCATTTTCAACATGTTGTGTCCGACGTATTGGGAGACAGCCAACAAAGGATGATGAGCCAGCGGTTGAGTCTATCTAGAGAGAAGGTCAGAGAGGAGGTCGGCATGATGACACTGCATTTGGGAATGGTCAGGCTAAAAATGGCTGTTGCAGCCCTAGGAGTAGATTAAATCAACGAAAGACAGTAAATAGCAAACACCTAGCATTTTACTCTGTGCCAGGGACTATCCTGAGCCTTTACATATTTCGTTAACTCGTTTGATGTTTCAACAACTGTGAAGCAGGTACTGTTTAAGACCAGCCTTCAGGAATGACAGCACTTCAAGGCCAGGTGAAGGCAGAGGAGCTGATAAAGGGGCCTGAGAGAAAGGAGACATGGGTACCAAGAGGAAGAATGCAGTGTCCTAGAAGCCAAGGGGAGGAAGGGAAAGGCATCAGCTGTGCCACTGAGAAACTCACTAAGATGAAGGAGTGTGAAGTGCCTTTTTTGCAAATGGAAATAATGAAGGAAAAGGTGGATCCATGGACAGTGGCAGGGTGGAGCCAGAAGCCAGCTCTGCGTAGCTCCAGGAGGGAGTGGGTGGTGTAGGAGAGGAGGTAGCTAGAGCCCTTTGTCTGAGAAAGGGAGGGGTGAGGAGAGGCGGTCGCTGGAGGGGAGAGTGGGGTGCAGGAAGGATTTCCGAAGCATAGGCAATAGTCAGGCTCCCATAAAGAGGTGCTTATAGAAGAGACTCTATAAAAAAAGGGAAAGGATAAAGATATAGGAGAAAAACTGGTGGTCTGTAATGTCTGCTTTCTGAAAAGGTGGAGGCAGATGGACTTTAGACCTCTCAGATGGGCTTTGGATAGAAGGAGAGACATCTCTCTTCTTATAACTTAGCAAGGAAGATGGGTTTCCGTTCTGGTTAAATGTAGCCCCCTGCCCCAGGAAAATGGAGATTTGAAATAGTTGCTTGGACCATGTTGAGTGAGAACCCAACTGAGATTAGTGATTATAAATATATGAAGGTCCCAGTCTAGCTTGCTGTCTCTTTTCCTGCAGCAGTGCTCTGCCACCTTAGGGGCAGGCAGAGGGAGACAGACGGTGAGTGGTTGAGATCATCAAGGTTTAGGGGAGAGGGACTGTTGCCAGGCAGGTATGAACAAAACACAGGAGCAAGGGATTTGGGGGTATGGGTGGAGCTGACTATGGATCCTTTCTTGGCAAGGTGATCAAGGAGAAGGTTCCAAGAAACTTTTGGATCCCGCTGCCAATGGGCAGATGGTGCTGATTGCTTTGAAAGTGACAGTCAAGAGAGTCAGGCTGCTGGGGTTCAACTCCACACCCTGAGTTTTCTCTTCTGTAAAATGGGGTGACAATAATAGTACCCACCTCACAGGGTGGTTGTGAGAACTAAATTAGTCTATACATTAAAGCCTCTAGAACAGTGCCTGGCGTAAGTGAACCCTCGGAAAATTATTTCTCATCATACTATTAATATTGTTATGAAGAACATTCCAAATGATAAACTTAGAGTTTTATGTAATAAAAATGTGTATTTCCAGGTGCACTCAAGATCCTGTGTTCTTTATACTCATCACAGTAGGTGCTCCGATATTTTTAAATGCCCTAAGCAGTTTGATCATCGTTGAGAACATCTGCGAGACGATAGGACACGTCTCAATATTATTATTTTACAGAGGAGGAAATGGAGGTTCAAATGGTGCATGCATGACTAGTTTGTGGCCTAAACTGAAGCCCGAGTCTCCGGCATGCTTCCCACCTAGCGAAGTTGCCTCTCAGAGAGCCATTGATCGGCAGTTAATTCCTGATTCCCGCTCAGACATTTTCTTTTGCTTGAAATGCTGTCTTTGCTGTCTGACCCCCTGGTACAGGCCACGCTAAAAGCAAACTAGTATAGTTCTGTGGCAATGGATGTCATTTTGAAGCTACCCTTTTCCAAATGCACTTGAAGGCAAGCTTTGTGCTTCTGTGGATTTTTCATTAGAAAAAACTGGCAAGCCAGCTACTGACCATGGTAAACTATCTTAAGAAACAGAATCCCTTAACAGAGGGACAGGCAGTGTTTTTGAAAACTGAAATAAAAGACAAAAAGTAAGACGAATGCTTTTTTTTTTAAGATTTTATTTGTTTATGTGACAGAGAGAGAGGGAACACAAGCAGGGGGAGTGGGAGAGGGAGAAGCAGGCTTCCCACGGAGCAGGGAGCCCGATGCGGGGCTCGATGCGGGGCTCGATCCCAGGACCCTGGGATCATGACCTGAGCTGAAGGCAGACACTTAACGACTGAGCCACCCAGGCGCCCCAAGACGAATGCTTTTTAATGGGTGTTTCAGTAGTGATGTCTCCCAGATATGGTGTCTGAGCCACTCTTTCAAATGTGACCATATCTAACGCATTATTTTAATTCAGAAATTTGTCTGGCACTAATGAACCTCCACCTCCCTGTCACCTGTCACTGAGCTTCTGAAAACCTAGTCATCCCTTTGGGTGACCTCCAGTTGATACTTCACTGTGATTTAGGGAGAGCAAACAGTTCACAGGTCTAGAGTTTATAAGCAGGTGAATGGGAAAGAATCAGGGGAATAAATTCAAAGATGGGACAGGTTTACAGAACAGTAAAAGGGGAAATCTTGGCAGAGAAGACAGGATGATCTATTAGGTACTCTATTATCTTTGTGTTCAAGGTGGAGCTAGTTAGCTCTAAATTACCACGACATTTAATTCGATGGACTGAGTTAACAGATGAGGTCCATGATGCGTTGAGCTGATGTTTTACAGAAACATCAAGATCAATATTACTGAAATGCCAAGATCAATTCTTATGCCAAGATTTTCCCAGAAAAGAGAATTTAAGAAGGTATCATATATATATATATATATATATATATATATATATATATATATATATATATATATGGGCAAGTAGGCTGCTGACAGTGATAAACTATCTTAAGTGCAGACCCCTTTATACTTAACCCTTATATGTATAATTGTAATTAAAATACAGTCAAGAGACTGTCTAACTTTCTGGTCATTTGCAGAGATACCAAATGTAATATTTGTAAATGTGTCTATATATGTGTCAGGTGTGTGAAAACATATAATCCTTGCATCATTCTGCTTATCTGTATCATGTGCCCATAATTTTTCTTCCTAAAATTCATGGATTCACGTCTCATGCTTCATTCCCTCAGAGCTGAATGTCTTGTTCAGAGCTAGGTGGGTAAATTCTCAGGATGTAAGACCAATAAACAGGATTCACAAGACTGGTACCTTATTGCTGTTCCCTCCTATCCTAAAAAAGCTGGGGATAACGTACCCCTCCAGAGAACTATAGTCAGTATCTAAAATCGTTTGAACCTGTTTAAGCACAAAATTATTTTAAGCTTTACAGTTTGTCTTTCACCAGTAATATTTCCAGTAAATAATCTTTTGGAGTTTTTGGAATGTACTTTATGGGCTATAAAAGTGTTTGTACCTTGACTCAGTTCCTGTTTCCCCTCATGATCATTTTTCTAAGGAAAAGAAAGTAAATATCAAACTATATATATAAGTATCTCATCGTCGTGTGCTTTGCAAAAGTGAACACTCAGAAACAATCATAGAGCAAACAAAAGCAAATGGTTGAATAAATTATGGTACGTCACTTTATCTAAAATTATAATTACAGGAACTATGTAGCAGCATGTTGTGGTGGTGTGTAGTGAAAAGAGCAGTTTAAAATTGTATCTCCCATCATTATGGCAACTGTGTACAAATTACATTAACAGGATCAGAGGCTGAAAAGCAATGTGAGGTTTTAGGGGACTTTTCCTGTTTGATTTCCATTTTGATGGTGGACAGGGGTGGAAAGTTGGGGTGATGGATGAGACTGCAAAGCTGGGCAGAGACCATCATTCATGAAAAGAGGGGTTTATGTCATGCTTGAACTTCATCCAGAGAGTGACATGACCTGATTTGTGCTTTGCAAAGATTGGCTGCTGTTTGGGGAAGGAACTGGAGCGGAGCAAGAGTGACAGTTAGGAGACTGACCAGTTGGCAGGCTTGACCCAGGCAGTGCCTTTAGTCACAAGAAATACATGCGGAGAGAAGCATGGCAGGGACATTCGCTTTGCTAGCACCTGTCCTAAAATACTACCATTATACCTTAAGATTCTCAAAATAGGTTTCACATGTAAATTTCATTCTACATTCATCTCCATCTGTATGCGGATCTTTAAAATATACGCATTTGTGAAACCCATCTGCCTCAGGAATATTTGGAAAATCCTAGCTGAAAATACTGACAAATTTCTAATAATAAAATGAATAGGGGTGCCTGGGTGGCTCAGGTTAAGTGGTTAAGTGGCTGCCATTGGCTCAGGTCACGATCCCAGAGTCCTGGGATCGAGTTCCACATTGGGCTCTCTGCTCAGCAGGGAGCCTGCATCTCTCTCTGCCTGCTGCTCCTCCTGCTGGTGCTCTTTCTCTCTGCCTCTCTCTCTCTCATCAAATAAATAAATAAAATATTTTTAAAAAATTAATAGTCCAATCACACATTCCCATTGAACATTTTATTTGAATTGTCATGAAATTTCTTTAAAGCCTGACCATCTTAAGATGATCGTATTGGAATGGGATTGTTTTGTTGTTGTTTCTACCACAGTAGATGCTTGTTGAGCATTTGTTGCATTCACACACAGTTACATTTCTAAGTTTTGTCCTAAAGTTAATTTATGTCCTGCCCGGTTCCAGAAAGAATTGAATGCACCGACGCTGGGGGTGACTGATCCTGACCATCCTCTCTTGCATCTCCCTTAACCAGCATGTTGCCATGCTCTAGCCAGTCCTTCTACCTTCCAGTTCCTGCCTTGCCATCACCCTGCACTCCTTCAGGTCCACTGTTCACTTCCTGGGCTCCTCGCCATTAGTATCACTTTAGTTTCCTAACCAATAACATAAAGTAGTGGATGAGGCGGATGCAGGTTGTAATACATAAAGGGATATGCAAATGTTAATAGTTGCTATTCTTAACAGCCTTAAGATTCAGTGATTCTGTAACTACTAAAGCATTTCATTTGAAAAGAGAAAACTACACGTCATTTTTCTTCCATTTTGTTCCCCTACCAATAAGTGCATCATTTTACGTGAGCTATGTAGGTTATTTTAACTAGTGAGAGGTATGCTTTTTATGATTTTTTTCTTTTTTTTTAAATTTATTCATTTGACAGACAGAGACAGCAATAGAGGGAACACAAACAGGGGGAGTGGGAGAGGGAGAAGCAGGCCTCCTGCTGAGCAGGGAGCCTGATGTGGGGCTCAATCCCAGGACCCCGGGATCCTGACCCGAGCCAAAGGCAGACGCCCAACGACTGAGCCACCCAGGCACCACTCTGATTTTTTCTTGAAGTTTTGTATGCACTTTTTGGTGTGGTAACAAAGTCAATGGAGGAAATATTGGATGATTTAAGAAAGGCAACATGACCCCTGAAACAAACAATATATTATATGTTAAATAAATAAACAAAAATAGGAAAAACTTTTAGTATCAAAAAAAAAACAGAAAGGGGACATGAGGCTAAGTAAATAAAAGGGGTGTATCTGTGGAAAATTAAACATAATTAACTACTTTATGTGCATACCCATGTCCCCTGACTACCACCTTGAAGAATAAATCCCTACGTGCCTGAGAGATTAATTCCCTACTGAGAATGACTTTGGGACACTGAGGGGAGAAAACCAAGAGCTTCTATACCAAATATGTTGCCAGAGAGGGAAGGCTTCCCAGCCACACAAGTAGAGCAGAAACTTAGAAGAGATTAGGCAGGCAGGCCCTTGGCCAGATGCCCATTCTCACAGAGGCTGAGTGCCAGTGGCTGGTTTTTCAGCCTAGAAACTGATGGGTAATTTCACCCTGGCCCTAACCCTGCCTTTTCCTTTTCCTTATCACAGCCCACATCCTGTTACTGTCATGTGCAGCAGGATTTCTTCTCAGCTGGAACTGAAATCAGTCAAACATCATTGTGCCTTTATGTTTCCTGATGGCCAGCCAGACCCTGCATGTGGAAGCAAGCCCTCACAACCCAGGGTCCCCTCGTGCCGCCACCAAGGTCCATCACCGCTCTGCTTATGTCAGCAAAGGAACATTTCCCCGCGTGCCGTGCTAACTTAAAGGGTGCTCATTTGCAGTGATTTTACCATTGGGGCGTCATGAACCCCTTTGAGAATCTGTTGAAAACTTCGAGCCTTCTCCCCAGAAGAATAAGCTTCCATTTGAGAATTTGCCAATGGATTTAGATAGTTCGGGACTCAGCTGGTTTCCCTTCTTGGAGATTCACAGAGTCCATCTGAAGGACCCCTCATTTCTAAAGTGCTTTGAATGTGTTGCCTGCAAATTCAGACATAACTTTTTTTTGCACGAAAGCCCTCAGCAATATGGTTTTTAATTTGCAGCATATCCTTACCATGTAAATGCTACTTACCACTGACTTTTTAAAATTCTAGCTTGAAGAACTCATTTGAGTACAGAAAAATAGTGTCTAATCCTACTAATACTAAGGTTTTGTGTTTCAGGTCTGACTACAGCCACATGTCCTCCACCAGCAGTAAGTATGGTTTAGATGTCCTTCAGCACTGGCTTCTCAGTCCCATCTATCTGTGTAACCCATGCTTTCATGGAAGAATCACCCAAGGGATACTTGCCAAAGTGTGTGATACAGGATCCTCTGACTCTAGAAGTTGGGGCTCTTCCTGGAGAATTTAACTGCCCCTTGATTTCAGAACTAGCTATGCAGCTACTTTCCCTATGGAAATTGAGCCTAGAGCAACCAGCCTGGGCTTTGTTAGGATAGATGCTTCTAAAACAGCTTTTCCAAATAATCGAATAATCAGAAGTAACTCATTCATTCACCAAATGTTTATCAAATACCTGCTCTCGCAGGCTAATAGTCCAGAGCACATGCATTAGACCCCTGGGTGGCCCCAGTTCATCTGTTGGGCCAGTGTCCTCCCTTGTATTTCTGCATCTGCAGGCAGATATCATAGGTGATTTTCAGATATGATTTAAAAAAGGTGATTGGGAATATGTTTATAAACATACTATAAGCATAGAAAAAGATGTCTGTATTAAATACTAATTGATAGGTAAATCTATTCATGGGAAATTAGGCCTTATATCTAGGAACAATTTGCAGTGATTAAGATCACTACGTAAATGACCAGAGCCATTCAGATTAATTAAACACCTATTTTAAGATAACAAAAAATTTCTTACAATAAAAGCCCTGATTATTTGAATCAGTAAATACTGAATTTTTTTTTCTATCTTCCCTGTTAAACTCTCAATTCTAAATAGTACCCAAATGGAAAGGCACTTAATTGGATTATTCTATTTATTGATGTTCTGGTTTAGTTTTCCTTTGCAATGAGAGACTGTGCAGAAAGCTGTATTTCTGGAATTGTAATTTAGTGTCAAGTTATATTTAGTTATTAGTATAACTGCAACGAATAATCTCCGATCATTTCAGCCAACTGGAGACCCAACATTGCCCCTTAGTTATTAAGAATCATTAGTAAAAATGAGAATAATGCTCCAGTGATTTGCATTCCCTCCCTGAAGCTTCTGCATTCCTAAAAATCAGGGAAAGCTCTCTTGAACTCTCTCTCTCTATGCTGCCATAGACTCAGTTTTGCCCAGAAGCTACATTTCTTTAAGAATGATTTTTATGAAATACTTGCCCAAAGCCTTTGCTCAATTTGTAGCTCTCAAATCAGTCCTCTGGGTCACAACAAAGCACCTCTTGTCAATGAACTGGTAATTTTGTTTGGGAGGCTTTCCTCTCTATTATTTTAATTGCGATCTCAGAGTTGGAATTTCTCTTAGTGCAACTGGGATCAATAGCCTTTTATTGCTCTTCCTTTTCTCTTTAAATATTTGGTGATTCCTGCATCAGTCTTTAGTGTTGGGACCTCTTGCTGAGGATGTATATGTGTTTCATATTCGAGTTAGGAAATGTATTTGGCTATAAATAATAGAGGAAAAAATAATGACATAAGTCGGCATTTGTTTTCCTCTAAAAAAAAGCCCAGAGAAGGCCATGCAGGTCTGATGTGGAAGCTCCTTTCATCGTTCTACTTGGATTTTGGCTTCTGTCCTTAGAGTTGCCTCAGAGTTACAAAATGGCTGCCTCGGCCACAGGCATCACATCCTTGTTCTGGGCAGGAACAAGGGGTGAGTGGGTACTGCTAGGCCTCTGGCTGTCTTTGTCTAGTGTCTGCCTGGCCTGCCTCTCCTCCCAACCAGGAGCATAAACCCTGACCACACCCAGATGCAAGAGAAGGCCCGTTTAGCAGTCAGTAAAGGTAACAGTGGACCCTTTCTGAAAAAAAAAAAAATTAAGTCTGAAGTCTGAAATCTATCCTTTAAAACGTAGGTTTGACTTTTTTTTTTAAGATTTTAAGAACAGCTTTCCCCCCCAAATTAGACAGTCACACTCAGAGGACTGAGTAGAGAGAAGGTTGATAAGCTTACTCTCCATCCTGAATGATGGAGTTCCAGGGTCACTCTCCTTGTCACAGCCCAGCTGTGCCAGCACCTTCTATGTGACCAGCAGGACCCACAGAGCTGACTTGTTGGTCTTCCCCTTGTGGGTCCTGAGAGCAGCTCCTGCATCTCTTTGTCATCCCCCTGCCCTTGGGCAGCCTCTCTGAATGGCTTGTTTCTGAGCACTTCCTGGTGGGGATCTGAGCACTGGTTCTAACCACTCGCTGTTAGGAAATGGATTTTTCTGTCTACCGGTGATTCCTATTCAGCATTCCCATGATGCTCTTTTACCTGTTTGTGCCTGAGTCCACGGGCGGGGGGCGGGGGGGGGGGGCGGCGTGAGCGCTTCCTTGGGTTGAGCTAGGGTTGGAGTCTGTCCAGAGCTGGAGTTCGTCACTCTGCTAGAGCTGACAGGAAAGCTTTCTCCCCAAGCAAGAGTGGCTATTCAGGTCTCTTTTCCCTCAGAACGCAGGGGCTGCTTCCTCAGGCTGCCTGCCCCTGACGGAAGAAGAAGGAAGGTCCTCACCAAGAGAAAGTACAAGAGCAGCGGTGTGTGAGGTCTCCTAGGTCGTAGTTCTGGTATGGAGTCCCGGCGGGCATGGGAGCCGTTGGGCCTTCTGTTTTTCCTCGACCTCCTGGGTCCCAGAATCACCTTCCCATTGATTGTGACTGATGTCACTTTCAACTCTGGTGGAAGTGGCTGATGGGGCTTCTTTAATGGATGGTTGTGTTCTATAAATTGGGTAAATTTTTTTTTTCTACTTACCATGGGTTCGTTTGCCTTTTTGAGACTGACAGGGCTGAAAAGCTTTTCCCTTATGTTTTCTGCAAAGCTAAATACACTGTTAATCCTCAGATCTCAATAAATCATAATACTTCCTAAGAAAGATGAATTTAATTTATACTCTCGGAATCTTAGGTGGTTTTTCCAGAAACCTGGGTAGAAGATCATCAAGGCACTATGTACAATTTACATTCTTAAGTGATTTAAATAAAAAAGGGAAATTTTATAAATAGGATAAAAGAAAAACAATAATTATGCCAGGGGAAGAAAATCAACTGTGCCACATAATGATAATGAAATTCCCATCATGTATGATTGAATATTTTCATTCAAATAAAGATTATAATCATACTTGGAGAATTTCTCTTAGAAGATGCTGGGAGCTGAAGAATGATATTTTTAGGACAGTGTCACATTTCTTGAGAATCTTTAGCCCCAGGATAATGCTAGTAGGAAGGGGTCAAAGAGTTCACTAGTTCTCTTTATTGGATACTGTTCCTCTATTAGCCCTCCTAATTTGTGCCTTAAAACTGCACCTTTTTGAAACTCAGGTATAGTCATTAACTCTTTACCTGGCCCTTACAGATGGCCCGTGACAGTGGGAACGCCTCACAGTTTTGTGCCCCTTCGTACTTTTCAAAAACGCAAATGGTGAAAGATGAGTCGAAGTGATACAGGGGCCCTTGGCCATGCCCTGCGGAATTCCCCGTATCTGAAATTACGGAGAAAGGGCCATGAACGGTGTGTTCTGCTGATTCAAGCCCAGGACCATGTACCAAGCTGTGCAAAACAGGGACACCTCCTAGGTGGGCGGTGGTCATGGGATCAGTTCTCCCACCCACCCAGGCCTCAGATTCCTGCCCGCCTCTTGTTTCCGTGGCTTGCTTTTCCTAGCTTCCTGCTCTGTCCTTCCAGGGACTCAGGTAGCTTCCCCCTGCCTGCATTCTCCTTGCTGGCCACGAGCTCCCCCAGGCTGTAGGGCCAGTGGAGTTCTGTCCCCTCAGCTGTTCTGGGGCCACCATGTCTGTGACCTGCCCTTGAGGGCAGCCCCAAACAGGCCCAGCTGATGCTGTGGGCCCCTGGACACGCTCTCCTCTTAAGGAAGAAGGGTCCAGCAGATTGCAGGTGTTTTTTAAATAGGAAAGTCAAGTGTCTTAGTTAATTGCAAGGCCTTGTGGCTGGTCTCAAGCCACCCCAGGGGCTTGTGGGTCCTGCCTCACTGCTGTGTGGGAGGACCTCTCATCCCTCCCCAAGGCTGCCTTGTCTCATGGGTGCATCTTTCCACACAAATATCATCGCCTCCCCTTCATTTCTCCACAGTCTCATCATTTCCTTGAAGTTTTAGGATATCGAAGCATCGTATGTTTTTAATTTTGTCTTTGGCCGCATCTGTGCCTCCCCTCAGTGTCGAGGGAAAGGTAAGCTCCTTGTGATTTAATTAATAAACAAAGGCAAGGAGCTCTGGAAGCAACCTGTTGAAAAGACATGACTGCATTCTGTGGAACTCGTTGCTGATGGGGAATGTTAAAATAAAAAAAACCCATGTCTCCGTATCCAAGAGCTAAATTCAGACAGGATAAGGAAATATTCATTATTTTCTTTCTGTTTTCTTGAGAGGAGATAACTTATTGACAGATTGACGTTTTAAGGCCGGTTGTCCAAAGAAGGAAGGTCAACATCTTGGAAGAGGTGATAGTAGCCAATTGAACTTTGATTCGTTTGTAAATTTCATAGTTTTATTTTTTTTTCTTCTGTGTACAATACTTTCCCCATTATGACTTTTGGAGTAAATGTTCTTTTAGGGTCTTATTTCATAAGATCTAGGCAAAACCAAGATCTATTCATTAACCCTTATGAAGAGCAATTTTAGCCATTGCATGTGTATAATTCTGTGACCAGTATGTAGTTGGCCATGGACACAAGTTTGCAAAAAAAACCAAAACACCCACCTATCAGTCCCCAGCCTCACACTCCTCTTGCAGTTAAAACATCACAAGAAAAGTCACCAGTTTTCTCTAACTTAGAATACAGCCTTTTAGGCAAAGTTAGTTATGGATGGTAATATGGCCTGTGAGGTGGATCAGACAAATCTTAAGTAACTCATTTTAGGCCTGTCACTACTGACACCCATTTCCTACTTCCTCTGTTTCCAGAGGGCTCATTAGTGATACTAAGGATGTTTGATATACTTTCATAAACCCAACAGTTGACATAAAACAAATCAAAGCATAGGGGAAACACTAACTTCCAAGTGGAGGAAAATCAGGGTTTTTTTATAT